CAGGCACCCATTAAGGCGCTTAACTCCACTTCTCCTCTCGAATTGATACTGCCAGCATGGCAGGTATGTAACACAAACCTCCCAGCACACAGCTTGGATCTTAATGGGTGGTTTTCCCTCTGTGTCCAAAAAGGCTGGTGTGGTCTTAATGCTCAAGCCTAATCACTGCTGTGAAATATTAATTAATCTGGCCGCTATTGAAGCTCTGTGTGTGCTGTGGTGTTGGAGCAGCAGGCTCGGCCGAGTGTGAATAATGGAGAGCCAAATCCGTTGCTGGTGTAAGCTGGCAGCGGAGCTCATTTACATCCCACCACTCACCACGGAGTTGTTAAAGCTGGATTTGATGCTGGCGTGCCTTGAGCTGTTGGCATTCGGAAAGGGGGAGATGAGACAATAAGTGTTTGGGCAGATCCAGGTGGGATTCAGACATGCTGGCACCAGTGTGGATTCAACCTCCGGAGCAGCTCCTATTTGGGGAGTCCCTGCATGGGATTGGGGGAGCCCCAGCACAGAGCTGCGTGCTGGAGCTCTGCATGGAGCTGTTTTGCACCCCCCGGCTGTAGCGTCTGCCCCAGCGAGCCCTGGCTGCGTCGGTGGAAGGGAGGCGAGAGCGTTGCATGGAGATGTGCCAGGGGGAAGCTGCGAATTTAATTGCTGAGCTAAAAGGCTGTGTGCCGACGGCTCCGAGTGGGCTGCAGGCAGTGTCTGGGTGAGCGTTTCCTTCTCCAGCATGCTCCTGTCCATCCCTCTCAACCACATGAGAAATATATCCTGGCAGCGGCAGCCTTGGCTTACCAGTCCCTGGCATCTCTGCTCTTCCTTTGCTGTTGGTGCCTTGAAATATTTTGCTGTCCTTTCATGCTGGCATCAAGAGACAGAGCTCCCTGTGACCAGCCTTTAAAGGTTTGGGTCTTCTGCAGTGTCCTCGGAAGTGTGTCTGCTTGCAGCTGAGCTGTCAGCTTTTAAAACACCTCCACTGCAGATGCTGACTCTTACCAAAGGACACTAGGATGAGTGGCAATTAATGATCAGGGAAGGAAACAAGCCACAGCCATGCAGCCTGAATCATGGAATCACAGAATGGTTGGGGTTGGAAGGAACCTTAAAGCTCATCTAGTTCCAACCCACTGCCATGAGCAGGGACACCTTCCACTAGAACAGGTTGCTCCAAGCCCCTGTGTCCAACCTGGCCTTGAACACTGCCAGGGATGGGGCAGTTAATTAACATCAGGACATTACTCTGATACACAGAGCTGTGAAGGCAAGCTGGATTTAGCCACCTTTCCTACTGAAGGTGGTAAAGGTCTAATTGCAACCACCCATGGTCCTCCATCTTTTCATGGCTGCTCTTTTTCCAACAGCTCTTCTTTGCACGGGGCTGATCTGAACTGCTCGGTCTGATTCCCCTCCTGGCGCGGGGGCTGCAGTTGCCCTGTTCCCAGCACAGCATGCTGCAAGGAGGGTGCGGGGCTGCATTTTAATTGGTGCCCAATGTGTCTGGCTCTCTTAAACACGATTAGAGAGAGATTTACTGGCTTGCTTTACAGCTCTGCTGGCCTGTGGGGTTGCACTGATTTACACTGGGATCTGCCCTGCCTCTGTGAGGGTGCACATGGAGGCTGGCTGGTGCAGAAGCTGGATATTTAATGTAGAGGTTTTCCTGCCTCTTAAATTGGTGGCAGAAGCTCAGAGGAGCCTGAGTGAGGCTTTTCCTCCAGGAGCTCCCAGCCATGCTTGCTTATGGCTCCAGGCTTTCCCCTGGGAACAGTTTTCAGGGAGGAGGTCTGAAAGCAGTGCCCTACAACTCTCTCAGTGCCCGCCATCCTCGCAGCACTGAGACTGTCCCTTCTCCCTGCCAGCATCACTTGTTTCATCCCTTCCCTGATAGTTTTTTCCTGCTTTCCCATGATCCAAGGCTTCCTCACTCCATCCCTCTGCCCACCCTGAGGTGTATGGAAAATAAAACCAATTGGTCTCTTGGCCAACTTGAATATTGCTCAGCAGCATTTCTAACACGTAGCAGGGAGATTTCATCCACTTTCCCAGGCAGGCTCACCCACTGGGTGCAAAAGGGCTGAGGGGGTCAGAGAATGGATATGAAGGAGACTCTGCATAAATGAGATTTTGCTAAGCAGATTAGGGAAAGGTCTCTGGTTCAGTGCAGGGCTTGGGGGAAGCCAGGGCTGGGCTGGCAGTACAACCCCTATCTTCAGGCTGGTGCTTGCTTGGGGTTAGGAGAGTGACCTTCATGGGATATTAGGTTTAATGAGGGATTTTGCATGATTTAATTAAGATTTATTTGCAATCAGCTGGAGTGCCCTTACGAAGTAAATTCTAGGCATCGAATAATATGGCCATAAAGTTTTCCAGTCATGCTTATTGCCAGGGTGCCATTAAAATGGGGAGAGGGAAGGGGATTAATGAGGAAAGGCTTAAGGTTGGAGCACTGGTGGGGAGCGTGTGGTCATTTCGGGAGGTGAGCTGGGCCTGTGTCCTGTTTTCAGCTGGCCATGCTTGATCCCAAAACCCCCAGTTACAGCTGGTACCCAGTGAACCACTCTCCTGGATGCATATGCAACGAGTTTATCTGAGAGCCTCAGTGTTCAAGCCAGTTGAGCAGCTAAGTGGGGGTTATGCCAGTGAGCAGCAGTCACTGGACTGGAAGACTGTAATTATCCCCAATTAGATCGACTTTCTCAGAGCTGAGCTGTCAAAGCAAAAGACCCTTTTGGCTTGCTTTGTCCCCCTGCAAGAGAGCAGATGTGACCTGCTGTGGCTGAGAGTGGCGCTGAAGAGTGGGGTGCCCCAGGCTGAGGTGACACACGTGTAGCTGTGGGAGCCAATTCCGCTTCTGGGTTTCCCACCTTGTTCCTTCTGTAGGGAGATGGTTGAGTCACGTTTCTCTGTGCCTCTACCTGATCTTTAAAAAACCCCTTATCCTTGGTTCCCACTGCCAGCAGGAGGAGAGCGTGACGCACCGTGCGGGTCCATGCTTGCATGTCTGTCGCATCCCTGGTTGCTGTTTCGGGGG